CTCCCCTTGGGAAGTCCAAGCTCTCGCACAAAAAACCCTCCTTTCCCATCCACCCAACCCTTTCCTGGGCCCGCCCCCTACCCCCCTTTTTCCTTCCATACGACTGATACACTCTTGGTCATTCTGTTTCGCTCCTTCCTTTCCACATGCCCAAACCACCTCAACAACCTTCCTAAAGCCCCTGGCAACAGTTTTGGTAATCCCGCACCTCCTCCTAACTTCCAAACTACGAATTCTCTGCATTATATTCACACCACACATTGCCCTCAGACATGACATCTCCACTGCCTCCAGCCTTCTCCTCGCTGCAACATTCATCACCCATGCTTCACACCCATAATAAATGAGATATATTCTTTGAAATATATAATTTTTTATGATTTTGTGTTTAATAAAATTACTTGCTGTTTCTTCTTTTTAATGGTATTAAATCTAAAAATTTTTTTCTTGTTGTCATTAGTTGTTTTTTATTAACATTCTATATAACTTTACAATAAATGTATTCTGTTGTTGTATAATCTTTACTAATTTAGAACTTCCCAATGATAATAAAAAATGTGAAAAAATAATTTTATACACTGTCAACGACCCAGTTACAGGAGGGAGTAATTTTTTCTCAAATAATAAGTTATGGTATATATATAACAATGATCTATACTTTTGTAGATTACAGTATTAATAGAAAACGCAATCTTAGTAGAGATTAGCGGGTTTGATAATCGTGTGTGTGTGTGTGTAAGTGTGTAGTCACCTAGTTATACTCGCCTAATTGTGGTTGCAGGAGTCGAGTCACAGCTCCTGGCCCCACCTCTTCACTGGTCGCTACTGGGTTTCACTCTTCCTGCCCCATGAACTTTACATAGCTCTCCTTTAAGTTATAGGGATCCTGCCTCCACTACTTTCACTTCCCAGACTGTTCCACTTCCTGACAACTCTGTGACTGAAGAAATACTTCCTAACATTCCTGTGATTCATCTGAGTCTTCAACTTCCCAAATGTGACCCTTGTTGCTGTGTCACATCTCTAGAACATCTGTCTCTGTCCACCCTTTTTAATTCCTGTCGGTATTTTATATGTCGTTATCATTTCCCCCCTATTTTTACTGTCCTTCAGTGTCGTCCGATCGATTTTCCTTTAAAATCTCCCCGTTTGGACATACCTCTTAGCTCCGGGACTGGTCTTGTTGCAATCCTTTACACTTCTCTAGTTTCCTAGTGCTTGGCTAGGTGTGGGTTCCAAACTGGTCTGCATATTCCCCAATATTGGCCTAACGTACACAGTGTACAGGGTCCTGTACGATTGCTTATTAAGATGTCGGAATGTTGTTCATAGGGTTTTCTAGGCACCCTTAAAACTGCAGTAGTTATATGGATGTGCCCCGGGTTTTTATACTCACCCCAAGATCTTTTTTTCCTTGAGTGAGGTTTTGTAGTCTCTGGGCCCCTAGACTGTACTCCGTCTGCGGTCTTCTTTGCCCTTCCTCAAGCTTCGTGATTTGGCACTTGATGGGGTTCAACGTTCATGCTATCGAATGTTTCTTTTTCCTTATTTTTGTGTGCATAGTGTCCAAAACCTGTCGGGATACCCTTTTGATTAGACTTTTAGTATGGCGCTGGTTCCACTGAGATGATCTCTTCCAATTAATTTTAAAAACTTCGAAGATTTCCTTATCGTTTCTCGTGAGCTTTCCTAATTCCGTCTTTAATTTTCTGCCTTGTGTTTGCTGTCATCTTATTTCTGATGTGCTAAGCATGCGTTTTAATTTTTGCAAATCTTTGCTGCTATGTCGTTCTCACATTTTCGTTTGCCTCTTTTTTCTGTCCTTCATAATTTTTCTGTTATTTACTTCTTCTGTTCCTGTTGGTCTTTTGCCTTTTGTAGTTTTCCTGATCTTCTGCTTTGTTTTTTCCTTTTTGCTCTCATCTGTGCATTTTTTATTGAACCAAGGGCTACCTTGTCCTTTCCTGTTTCTTCCTTTACTTATCGATTATTTATTCTTTCTTTTTCCCTGCACTCTCTTGAAAGGTACTCCATCTCATTTGGTTACATTCCTTTCAGTTTCCTTTACCCACTGAATGTCATTCTGCAATCCTTTATTCCCTTTAAAATATTACCTCATTTAAAGTTTAGCTTCTCCACGCTCTCAGCTTATCATTTTTCTGCTCCGCAGTTAGTTTTACAAGGAACACTTAGGTCATACTGTTTAGACACTAGCGCCAGTGGGAGGTGTATTGTCTCCTTGCTCAGATGTACTGTACAGTAAAAGACACATCATCGTAGTAGACACTAGCCGGTTTGAAAATTGTAGTAGAACTTGCGGGTTAGAGTGGTTATAATTGACCATCAATTTTTAATGGGGTGGACGGTAAGCCAGCGGAAGGACTCGGTCATCAGATGACCAAAAGCTCCAAAGGCGGGTCATCATCTGACTAAGACCCGCCGTTCAAAAGACATTTGTCTGTTTCCTGTTGAACCTTACTACCTAACCTAACTAGGGGTTTGTTAAATCGTAGTGGACACTAGCGGTTTGGATATTCGTTAGTAGGACACTTAGGCGCTTGAAAAATCATAGTAGACACTAGCGCGGTTGATAATCGTAGTAGAAAT